GAGAGAGAGAGAGAGAGAGGGGGGGGTAATTGAAGGGAGGGAGAGAGAGAGAGAACGTATATGGCACCGAAAGGGTAGTCACAACTAGCATGTATACATGATGTCCACTTCAACAATGTGTATGAGAATGTCAGTGTACCGTCATTGTGTGTGTGTCCGGGGGGGGAGGAATCACAAGCTTGGGAGGTGTGCGTGTTCATCTCTTCTTTGTTGTCTGGAATGAGTGAGTCACGAAATTTATCAACCGGAATGCCCCCCTCTGCTCCAATGAGACACATGCATGCATGAATATAAATAGAGAGGTCTCCGACAGACAAGCACCATAAATCCAAACATAACACCATCACATTTCCAACACGATTCATCACACCACCATCATGTTTCCATCACGATTTCCAACATAAAGTCTTGTGTTCAACTGTTGATAAACAGTTTACCAACACGTAGTTCAACCTTCCCAACGTAGTTCAACAAAATATAAACAGATTCTCAACAGTTTATCAACACAAAGTTCAACTGTTTATCTTGTCACTTCATGTGGACTACATAAGTCACGCACGTTGGTTTCCTTCATTTCCTGTAGACCATGGTGCATGTGTCAGGATAAACAGTTGAAAAACAATTTTTAAACGGTTGTGAGGCCCCACGATCAACAAAAAAAAAAAAGGCAACAATTTTTCTGTTGGACTACCTCTCTCCTATCTCTCCGTCTACTTCATGTTCTCTCTCTCTTACCCCGTCACCATCGCCATGAGCTTTGCAACGGAGCAAGTGATCGGCACGTGGCTTCTTACTCCGCGGGGGCGAATCAGCGTCATACGGCAGCTGCAGCGGCCCCATCTCTGCTCTGATCTCCTCCGGTTTGCAGCTTTCTTCAATACGTCGGCGATCTACGCAGCTACAGAGTTCTGATTCACGGAAGAAGCAACTACGCGCGGTCTGGCCGAGATCTCGGCCTTTCGACGGCTATCCCCTCCCGGGATTAGCCATATCGCCGTCGTCGTCGTCTTTTCAGGAGACATCATGGCGATTCCGTCGGAGATTCACCCCGACATCTATCGGACGTTGCGCATCTGGTTTGGGGAAGTGCGGACAGCGTGAACCGATCTCCTGGCTTGGAGAGGAGACACCGTCGTGCCGGCGCATGACACGGGCCTCCAACTGCGTTCGTCTCGAAGCTCGCCAACGATCGTGCTCCCGGAGCTTCGTCCCTTCGCGCCGCCCCAATGAGTCATCGTCGCGTCTCCTACTTCGGCCTCCCCTCCAGCATTCCCACCCTTTGGCAGTCTGCGCGGGCTCCTACTCTCTCCTACCGTGTTAAGGAGAACAGTGCGCCGCTATTGAGCGAGGAAAAGTGGGACGCGTGGTGGGAAGACTATATCGAGCTCGCTTTCTGTCTATTGGAGATAGAGTTCCGTTGGTCAGAAGCGGCCCCATTCGGAGAAGGTCCAAAGCACCCAGAGGACACCGTTGAGCTTCTGATCATCCAAGCGTGGAGAACGGCGGAGCAAGGTGACCTGCTGGGAATCGTATTTGGAAAGGTGGAGGAAGGTAATCTCGCCTTGATCACGGACGAATTGCTGGTGTTTCTGACTCAGCTGGTGGATGATCTACCCCTGGACATCTTATCGCACAGTGACAAGCAGCCTGGCACCCACGTGCTGTCTCAAACGCTCGAGCCGCACCTTGTGTGGTCCACGTGTACGGAGATTGACGAGGACAACTGTCTCTATCCTTCCCAGGTGCTCTACCTGGAGATCGACATTACCGATCTCACGTTTTGGGACCCGATTGTGAGGCAAAACGCGGCGCGGGACGAGGAGATAGGGGGAGCAGACGAAGAGGAGGAAGAGGAAGAGCCATCGAGCGAAGAACGAGACGATCCAGACTACGTACCGAAAAGCGAAGCAGGGATAGCCGACGAATCGAGCCAACCGCGGGACGAGGAAGAAGAAGAAGGAAACGAGCAAGCGGAGTCGGAGTACAAAGGATTCGAGGCTGAAGTGCATGACGCGGCTTGAGAAAGAGCGCAAGAGCACAGAAAACAAAGGCGCCAGGAGACCGCAGAGGGAAAACGACCCGCGACAAACGATCCATCGATCGGGGACTCGTGGCGTGATCCGGAGCCACCAGAAGAAGAGGACGATGGAACCGCAGCAGAGGGATCACGAAGCAGAAGAAGAAGAAGTGAATCGCCAGTTCCCTCCGGCTCCCCGTCCAGATCCTCCATTCGTTTACATCAAGATCTCGGCGTTCGGGCTTCGTCCCCGGTCGTTCTCTCGCCGACCCCATGACTACCTCATGCTTACCCGTCTTCCCGATAGACCTCCGTTCCCCAATGGTTGGTGTCCTTTTCCCCATCACCTTTTCTACCATCTCTACACTACCCGCCTTCTAGTCTCCGTTTATCCGCATGCCACCACCTGTTCTGTGGTTGATTCCTTTCTCCTTCACGTGCTCCTATTTACCGCAGACTGGTGGGGATATAACCACGTAGAAATATACTGTATTATATCTGGAACTATTCCCGCCTGCGAAAACTACGAAGATTTTCGCGCCGCTCTGCAACGGACCCTTTTCACCATTTACCCCGACTACATCGCCGCTTTTCGCCATCTCCATGAGGTCCCTCTCTTCCCCCGCATCCATCGCTCCTTCCGTTACGCTACCCTTCCTGATTTCGCCTCTCCCGCCATCAATCGATTCATGCCCCCTGAACCATCCGCCACCTCCACCTTCAGTGATTCGACTGCCATTCCCCGGGAACGTCTAGGGTCTAGGGTCTACCCTCCTGCTGCACTGATGCATGGCTAATGGACACGTGCCATAACAGCGGCACGTGTAATCCCCCTCCTTGGAGTGTCGAAAGCCTACCCTGAGGAATTAGTAGAAGAGCAGTCTTGCCACGTGGGTGACATCCACACTCAATTGAACGGTAAGTGGCATGAAGAGAGATGCTCCGCGTATCGATCTATTAGAGAAATCGACACGTGTCAACAAGCAAGCAGGAGCTTGCTAATATTGGAACCCCCTGGGCGTCACATATGTGACGAACCACTTTCTGTAACGCGCGACTTTCTGCGCGGTTGCAACGAGGGGTCCTAAGTTGGGAAGGTTGGGCCAATTACGGGAGATCGGGATCGGTGGGAAATTGCATTAGTGTCCTTGCTTTTTCGTTTTTTCCGTCACTTCTTTTCGAATGGCTGGGTTCGGAGCTGGGCGTGTCCTGGGATGGCCGATTGATTGATTGGTCGGTTGGATGGTTGGCGCGCCTCCGTGCACGCGATTAATAAATGTTAACGTCGTTTCTTTCGCTTCGGTTTCGATCTTTTGGGTGTGGACATCGCGCGGAAATTTGCACTTTTCTTTTTGAATTTTTCTTTCAAATCTTTTTCAAATTTTGTCGAGCCCTGATGACTCTCGGAATTTTGGACTTTCCTCCCGGAACCTGTACTTTTGCTTTTCGCATTAGTTAGGAATTTATAAATTTTGTAATTAGGACTTTCTCTTGCCGCGTGGCGCCCTTATTTGCTTACGCGTTTTTTTTTGTGGCTGCAACGGAATTCTGATTAGTCGGTGCCTTTAATCGGGAGTATAACTGTAATCTTGGGTTGGCGTCATTGTAATTGTATCTTTCTTCTTGCTCTTCGTCCTTCCCGCACTCCTTCTCTTTCTTTTGCTGCATTTTCGAAACTACGGACTGCATGCTCAGATCGATGCGTGGAGAGTGGCTACGTCCCCCACGCCGCGGCCCCGTCATGCAAAACGTAGGCACTCCCTCTCTAATCTCCCCTCTAAGTCTTGGTAATTTCGTGCTCTTCGCGCATGCATGCACGCTATAAATTTCGGTTGCGCGATTAGTTAGCTCTTAACCCGTTGTTGGAAGCTTGGGGTTGCGTGATCAGGAAGGGTCGGCATACGAGCGAAGTAAGAGGTGAGTAGAGTAGAGGTCGGGCGACCCGACGGGCTGGTGCCGAACGCGCGGGATTGACGTGGGCCACAACGGACTGTGGGCACGAACGAATCTGACGGGTGCGGGAGGACTAAGCGGGGTGACGACTTCGTGGGTTGGTGCGTGACGACGGATTGTCCACATCGAAGAAGAGAGAGAAGAGGAAGAGAGAGTTGATGTCGATGGAAGCGGATTTGCTGTTTCTTTGTCTCTTCCCCCTCTCTATCTGTGTATATAAATTTTGATTGCAGCTCCGGGCGGTTTGTCCGTTTTTGTTTTCCCTTCGGCTTTTTTTTTTGGAATCCGGACTTGGGTTTTTGCTCACACTTGTCCTTGCGATGACCGTCTCGATTGCATTATATGTATGATTGCTGGATGTATGGATGTATGGATGTATGGATGCTATGTTTGCTTGTCTGTCGTTTTACTGAGAATCCTTGTCTTTGCTTTTGCTTGTGTCGGATTTTTGCCTGCACCTGATGCAGTTGTAAAAGGGGATAAGAATTTGGCCCCGATATCGATTTTGCCCTCGTTTTTGCTTGTCTCATGAATGGGATGTGGTGTGATTGCATCTTGCATAACCAAACTTACCGAGCAATTAGACGATCCGACACCGGGCCCCGCGAACGCCGCGCGAGGACATGAGTAAATGCGATCCGAATCGCGCATTTACACGCATCCCCGTGCGTTGATTCGCCCACCCAGAAAAGAGTCGCGGCGGAACCGTCATCCCGTACGAGCACGCTGAGGCGCAACTACGTCCGCCTGTCCTGCACGTGCTCGCGCGCGGTGACGGTAACCTGACCCGAGTTATCCCATACACGATGACACCATGACGCGATCTTGGAGCTCAGACTCATCCTACGACCCGTATTATTTCACCCCCTGGATAAACGAACTCTTACGACAACGATATCCCTGTCACACGAAAAATCGATTGTGTCCGCGGGAATTCCACTGTGCCACCTCTAGCGACCCCCGGTGCTCTTATTTCCCTTCCCCCGACCATACCTACTACTTCATCCAACTGGGATTCGTCGCCATCACCACCAGTTTCCCTCCTTTTCGCCTTCTTCTCCCGTATCATCAACTTAGCGTCGTTCCGTGGCCGGCCATAGCCCCCTATTGGCCCAGCATGCCCTGCGGAAATTGCTGACGTAGCGGCGAACGGAGAACCCCGGAATTCTGAAGGCCCAACCCAAACACGCAGCGGCCTGCGCCACGTGGCGGCCCCCGACGGCCCAACTTTTCGGGACCGCCTCCTCCGCGGAGGGACTTCCCCGTAAACCGTCGCCCACAGTACCCCGGCCCCATCGGGCCTTGAGTCCCTTGCGCACGCGCCCCTTTTTCGCCTAATTGCATTCACACCCCTGAGACTTCCCCACTTTACCCAAAAATCCTTGGCACACCCCTTTTCGCACTTCCAGGCCCCCATCCCACTCCGATCAGGAAGTCGCGCTGGGCGTGAGGTTGGCCGTCACATGGCTTTGTAGGTCCTGAAGGCTTTTTTATTTGTTTCCCAGGGTTGGGAAATGTCAGAGCAGCGGTCTGTACTCGGCCATTTCTGCTTCTGGACTATAATTCCTAAGGTTTGTATTTGCTGCACCGTACTCACTTGCCTGTGATCGAGCCCTATAACCTGTCGAGGGATGTTACTCGAAACTTGGTGTTAGCGAGGACCTGGTTAACTTTTCATACAGTGATACCGTAATCAAGACGACTGCTGGAGTATGCTACAAGATGGTTGGAGCGGCCTCGAACGAGTGGGTGGAGGCCACGAAAGAGAAAGATCCGCGTTCCTCGCGCGTGTGTGTGCTTTGGAGTGCCAATGGGCCTCATTACGCAACTTGTTTGTCGGCATTTTCAAAGTACCTCGCCTTCGCGTTTTGATGTTGACGAAAGGGTTTTTTTGTCACAGTGTTCATGACGTGTGGACAATCTCGCTGCATGCATGCTTGTATTTCCTGCACCGTACTCACTTGCCTGCACCAGAAACTGGGCAATGGTCCCAGAGGCTACTATTTTCCGGGTTGTTTGTGGAGGGATTCCTGGGGCTAGGTCCCACTTGCACGAATCAAGAGATACTTACCGTAGATTAGCAAAGATCAACGGCCGAAATCTCCTAATTTGCACAAGTGGGACCTTGCCCCCGGCCTCCCCCTTGTTTTCCTGTTCAATGAAACACAAGTTGATTGTGCAAAAAAAAAAAAAAAGAGTTCTCGTCGAGCCTTCAGCGGCGGCGATACGGCTGTGGAGCGGGGTGTCTCCGCCCGTGTCCTGGGCTGCCGGTCGCGGAGTTTGGCGCTGGGCGAGGGGAGTACCGTTCCTTAGGCTTCTGCGGGCGCGAGGAGGAAAACGTAGAGCACGGGACAGTGGCGGCAAGGAAAGCGGACAGGAAAGGAATAGGGAACGTGAATTTTGCCGTCGAGGAAACGCCCAGACAGGAGGAGCTTGGGATATGGCGAAAAAGGAGAGGAAATTGAGCGATGGAAAAGGTCCTTCCGTCAACAAACTTGCCGAAGGAGATGGAGGCGGAAGGAAGGAAAAAAGGGGCGATGGGGGATTGAAGGTGAAGACGAAGAAAGTGGAAGAAGACAAGCAAGGAGCCAGAGAGACGAAGACGAAGGAGAGTGGAATCGGAGGGGAGTCTGACGTGAGAGATGCTATGGGGTCGACGGGGAAGAGGCGGGAGGAGAAGGAGGTGAAGGAGGGGAAGGAGGGGAAGGCGAAGAAGGAGAAGAAGGAGAGAAAGGGGAAGGAGGATGACAAGCACAAAAAAGAAGCATCTTCGGTATCGCCGAAGAAGAGGAAGCAACGTCCAGAGAAGCAGGAAGATGAAGACGGTGACGGCGATTTGCGGAAGAAGAAGGTGAAAATAGAGAGAAAAGAAGGGAAACTGAGATTTAAGACGTCATCAGGAGCCTATGGCAGAGGAGCCTGGAGAAAGAATGATGGCTACGGCGATGAAGCGGAGAAGGGAGAGGAGGTCATGCCTCCGCCAACCGATAGATCGAAATGCAAGGGTAAAAAAAGTGATATGCAGGTGATAGTGGATGCGACCGGGAAGAAAACCTACAAATGCGACGGATGGTACGTGTACTACATGCACCAGTGGATCTCTCGTCACTACCCTCCTCCATGGTGAGGGAATGAGCCCCCCTCCCCATCCTCTCCGCCCCCCGCCAGGTATATCTGTCTCAAGCATTTCAAAAAATCGTCCATGGTCATCCTCCTCCTCGGCTTCCCTCCCTTCTCCTTAGTCATTTTACCTCCGTCTCCACTCTTTCCACTCTCACATCAACTCGTCGAGACTCCGTAACCACATTCACACACCCACGCCCACACCCACACACAGAGACAGAGAGAGAGAGAGAGAGAGAGAGAGAGAGAGAGAGAGAGAGAGAGAGAGAGAGAGAGAGAGAGAGAGAGAGAGAGAGAGAGAGAGAGAGAGAGAGAGAGAGAGAGAGAGCAGGCGAGGGCGTTTGCTCAGCCTTCTGATGTTGGGCTTGGAATGTTCATTGTCCGCTCAGTCGTGTCATCAATTCTGTCATGACGGCCCTTTCTCTGGATTGATCGATCGGTTCCAGGGTCATTGCCGATTACGCCGATGTCGTTGCACGAGAGTTCACACGCCCCTTAAAAAAGGAAGGAAAGAGAATTCATACCTTTATTTGTGCGTGTCATCCTTGCACAGCCATGCATTCATATATTCCTTGCCAATCGTTGGTCATCCATCCTGTCTTCCCTCTCCTCACGATGTCTATAGTGTACTTTCCCCGGCGGCAGACTCTTACTGATCATTTCGCGTTGGCGGACTTATAGACCGGATCGTGGCGCCAACCCTCTTTTTTTTAATCGGTGCCAACAAACTCTTCGCTGACCGCTAATTGTGCGAACAGACCAACTGTAGAACGCGGCATTTGCGGGAGTTGGTGGCGCATGTCATGCCATATATATGCTTTGCTATACAACTCCCTTTTCGCCCCTGTTAAAGGTGTGTGTGTGTGTGTGTGAGAGAGAGAGAGAGAGAGAGAGAGAGAGAGAGAGAGAGAGAGAGAGAGAGAGAGAGAGAGAGAGAGAGAGAGAGAGAGAAGCCGACATACGACAGACAAACAGACAGATAGGCAGATCGATACTGTCTGTCCTTATCTGTCTGACACTCTTCTTGTCTGTCTGTAATGCTGTCGTCTCCGTGTGTTGTTGAATATGTCTGTCTGTCATGGGTTAGCACGACAGGGTTTGCTTCGCTTTTCTTTTCCCCCCTGAATCTTTTCAAGGCGTTCGCTGATTGATATAACGGAGGTAAATAAGTCCAGTAAATATCCCCTCCCTGTATATGCCATATTCGTTGCGTCGAATTCGGAGTCGGGCATCAATGTGTCCACTAGACTTTTCTTCAGTCATGGATCTCCGGCTTGTCGCCCGTCTTGCCATTTATTCATCGATCATAATCCCAACACAAGGATGGCAAGAGGATCTCGGTTCCGTTCCCGGCTTTGCCAAATATGATTCAAATTACCTGAGTCGTTTTTTTTCACCTACGGCTCTCTTCTGGAGCGAAAATTACCTCTAAAGGCAGTGTGCCTACTTCCTACTCCCGCACTTTTTCACCTCCCTCTCCCTCTCTCTCTGTCTCTCCCCGTTCCCCGTTCCCCACTACTCTGCCTCTCTCAAACGTCTCTCTGACGCCCGCAGATGGCTTCCCATGTTTGTGTCTCTCGCCTTCCTGTTGCAGTGCATTCAGTATTACTGATTGATTGATTGGGTTGCATGATTGACTGAATGATTAATTGATTGGTTGATTGGTCGGTTGGTTGGCTGGCTAGTTAATTACTGTTTTGTTATTGTCCTGGTATTAAGATAATGTATTGGCTGATTGATTGATTGATTGGGGTGCATGATTGATTGAATGATTAATTGGTTGGTTGGTTGGTTGGTTGATTGATTAAGTGATGGATTAATTGATTGCTTGATTGATCAATCGGTCAACTCTTTTTAGATGGGTTGTTGGAGTGGCGATCAATTGGACGGCTCGATTTCGATCTCTGATACATTCGTTGATTTATTTGGCGCACAGAGGGGGTGCCGCAGTGTATGTCTGCCTCCCAACGTTTTGTTTCCCCCCCCTGAAGCTGTCGTTTTGCTGCTATCACTGCCGGCAGCAGCTGCATGCCAATCTCTGCCTCCCTTTTTCCTCCCTCAACGTTTTGTTTTTTCCCCCTGAAGCTGTCGTTTTGCTGGTATCACGCCGGCAGCAGCCGCATGTCAAACTCACTGCTACGGATCATTCATTAGTAGTGATTTGTGAGGGCCTCGCCACACCAGTCTCGAAATGTGAAAAAGACAAAAATGTGGCAGGTGCATCTGGTCATGTTCTAGCGGGAAGTTCATTCTCATTTTGCACATTTCGAGAGTGCTGTGGCGAGGCCCTGACAACGGATTTAGGTAATGGTGGAGTGTGCATTTGAGTGGAACCCGACTAACGAGTCTCTGGTGTGCTGTCACCCACTCCGCATTCAGCTGCGCACACCCCGCCTTCATCAGCAACGCCATCAAACCCTTAAAGACCCCTTTACGAGGCCCCGTTGCAAGTTGTTCTGCTATGACAGTAGGGTAGGGTTCGTCTGGCCTTCTCTAATAATGCATGGAGGGGCAAATACCATAAAATAATGGTAATGCATCCTCTAGAATGGAGCCAGTCATTGGCTTGTGCTTTGTTGAATCATTTCTCCCCTTGTGAAGACAGGTGGCAGGTCCTCACATGCGCTGCTCTAAACTCTTGGAGGATCGACTCTTAACAAATGGAGGAACTCCCTATTCCTATTTTTGGTTTCTTGATGGACTTTTTACAAAAGAAAAGAATGGTTTACTCACTTAGCAAAACTCTTCTTCAACAAAAAAAAGGGCGCTTCGCTCCGAATAAAGCGAGTCGCTATTGTAAGAGAGAGGCCGCTTTATCTTCAAAATAGTCCAAAAAGCTATGCAGGTCATAAAATGGAGGAACTCCCTATTTTTGGTTTATACCTCCTCTATTTGACCCCCCCCCCCCCCCCCGCACACACACACACACACACACAACGTTTTGTGTTTATTTATGGATGGCTTGCAATGGTATGCGGATGGAATGAGAGAGAGAGAGAGAGAGAGAGTTTGGGGGAGGTGGAAAAACACACACACACGTAAAGTCGACCACTTTTCTCTCTCAAGGATGGGTATCGCTAACTCTGGGCGATGTGGTGAGTCCTTATCCATCAGTCAAATTCATCCTGGGCACACTGACTGTCCAGGTTCAACCTCCTGATGAGTCCATGAAAATCCGACGAGAGAGTCTGTTTGGCACAGTCATGCTTTGTTGGAGTGTATAGCGAACATGACAACAAACACAATCAGGGGCACCCCCTCAATTCGAGGGTCGTCTCTATTTTAGGGATCCGCTTCTGCATACGCATATACAACTTTGTGAGGAGCCGCCCGTCTGAGGAAACGCGCAATGAATGCGAATCCCCAATCTGTACTTGTAGCAGATCCTTGGGATGGACTCTATCTATTGTCTGGGGGGTTGAGCAATTCCGAAAGATGCTTCGATTTACCATAACCAGGTTCATCTCGTAAAACAATAGTGAACTCGAACAAGCATCTTGGGTAGTTTGTGCTAGCGATCGATATCCCCTCACTTGTCCTTTTCTGGCATGCTCTTGTCCTGTCGAATTCGCAGTAAGCCGAATGTCCAGAGTGCAGAATTGATTGCACAGGTGAACTCTAGCTCTATACGTCTTTCGGTCTAAAACCCTAAACCCGCACTATGACTCGGGGTTTGGTTGTTGGACAGGAGGCTTGTGCAGCTGTAGCACTACCATCTTCCCCCGAACACAACGCACCCTCATTATGAATGTATAGAGGCTAGGTTTCCGGTCCGATGCATGCGTTGTGTTCGGGGGAAGACAAGAGCGGGACGAACGGCTGGATCAAAGTTCGGGCTTATTTAAATACGGGCTGCGGGGTGATTCCGGGCTTATGATTCAGGGTTTTCGCTATATCAGTGTGCAAGTCCCGTGTATTTTCTGCCCTCCTTCTCCCCCTAGGGGTAGGTGGGATTATGTTTAGACATATGTACTGCTATCTGAGGAGTTGGGAATATCTGCTGTGGTAATGCGTTCTGAGGTGGTCAATCCATAATCATGTTCGTTCTGTGGAGGCTTGTTGTTGCGCACTGTGATTCTGCCTGTGACATCTGCTCTGTGTTTGGACTTCAGTGGTAGGCTGCTCAGTTCGTATTTTCAGCTCAGGAGACACAAATGGAAGATCAACAGCTGGAGAAGGAAGGTCGGGCTGCCGCCCTTGCAAGGTGAGAGTGTGTGTCTCTGTGTGTTTGCTTTCGTAATGCGGATGTGTATATATCTCGTGTGTGTGTGTGTGTGTGTGTGTGTGTGCTGTCATATTCGCTATACAACCAAAAAAAGCATGACTGTGCCATACTGTTTCGTCGGACTTTCACCGACTCATCAGGAGGTTGAACCCCGACAGTCTGCCCAGGATTCATTTGACTTTGTGTGTGTGTGTGTGTGTGTGTGTGTGTGTGTGTGTGTGTGTGTGTGTGTACCATTTTGCTCTCCACGATATCTATCATCATGCAGGATTTGCGAAGGTCTGCTTTGCGGTTGAACCCCGACAGCTGGCTCCATTGCTCGCTTGTCTATGCGTTGGTCATCTGCTGGCTGATGTGCCGCGTTCCAGAATTGCGATGCCGATTGGTTTCAATCTTTTGACCTGTGTCCCCTTTCTTCCCACAGTCGGAACATTGGATTGGATTGGATTGGATTGATCTTGATCTCATACCTTTCTCGGCCTTTTGGCTAAAAATAGATGAAGTGCATTGTATCTGTTCTGTTCAGTTTGATAACTGATCCGTGGTCCATCGGGTCACGTGATATGAATTGGATTGATCTTTTTGACATCTGGTCTTCTTTACGCACTCTATGAGAATGACTATTTGCAGACCCAGTGCTCACACCCCGAGTTTTCAAACCCAACTTCCAGACCCTGCTTGCAGACTCGGAGAGTTTGTAGACCCAGTTTGCTCACTCCGTTTACCGAATCATCTTGCAGATCTGTTATACCGACCCGCTTTTTTTATGGCTTAGTTTGTGTGCTGAACCAGCTTGCGGACTCAGTTTACCTACCTATTTGCAGAACTAGATGTGAGTGCCGGAAATGTTTTGTTTTTCTTTTCTTTTTCACTTTATCTTATCTTCCCTCTTTTGTGTGCAGGTGATGATGACGAGGAGGACAAAGGCAAGGGCAGCGCTGACACAAAAAAGACGAAGAAGAAGGAGGCTAAGCGGTTCAAGAGAGATGGTAAGCCTCAATTAAAGCGCACAAGTGTGTGTAGGGCTTGGCAGAAAGGGGAATGCAAGTATGGTGCCGATAAATGCAGGTTCCGACATGAGGTTGATTCTGCAGGAAAGAGTGCTGGCAAGGGAAAGAAAGCATCGCTTGCTGGCAAAGGCGAGAAAGCACAGCCAGAGTTTCGACTTCAAAAGGAAGAACCCCTCCTCCCACGACAAGATTCAATGAAGAGAGGGAAAACAGCGAAGAAGGTTCGTCTTCTGAAAAAGAGTAACAAGCCAAAGAAACTTTCGAAGAAAACCAATGCCGGTGGGAAAGGTTAACGAGATTGAAAATTTGCCAATTTTTTCAAGGCACTGTAGGAAGTGGCTCTTCTGCCACGGGGAGCGAGAGAGAGAGAGAGAGAGAGAGAGAGAGAGAGAGAGAGAGAGAGAGAGAGAGAGAGAGAGAGAGAGAGAGAGAGAGAGAGAGAGAGCTTTGTAAGTGTCCTCTAGGTTGCGTAGTTTGCATTGTGCTGCTTGAGCGACAATCTGAACCTCAGTTACTCCAATAATAGAGTTCAACATCTCGGATTAGGTCATTGTGTGTAGTTCGTAGGGAGGCGGAATCTGGTGGGGAACAGGGTGGAGTGCTGCCGCCATTGTGTATTAGCATTTTTGTCCGGCTAGGTTCCTGTCAGATGAAATTAAGACGATTTGCACGTGTTCTGACCGTATAGGACACATAAAAGATGACCCGAAACAGAAGGCAGAGAGCTGAACCTGCAGGAAGGAAACTTGGGCTGGAAAGGAAGCAAAAGGGACGAGCAACAACTGTGGTTTTGAGTGGGAACCGAACGTTGTTGTAAATTCATTTAATTTCCTTTGCAGATGACTGGGAATTCAAATTCAGCTCAGACTCAGCTCTGCTTAAATGCATGCACATGAACGCTCTCGTGAAGACAGCGGAATGGATGCTAACACATGATCGGATTGCGTGGCATGAGCATCAATCTGCCTTGGATGAGAGAGGAGAGGTGGTGAGTGTGTGGGTCATTGTCGGCCTGTGCATCTGATGGTTTAGGTTAAACCACTACCGTCTTCACCCGAACAGAACGTACTGTCAATCTTGCTGCATCTGGACTGAATGTTGTGCCAACTACAGGCAGAATGACCGTACGTTTTATTCGGGGGAAGACGGCAGTACCTCTGCCAGTGTTGGGAAATTACGAGCTTTAGTCTGTTCCCGAAGAATTCGGGGGTGGGACCCAGGGTCGGCAAGTCCAGTAAATTGGAGTTTTCTTTTGCCCGCGCGTGAAAGGAAAAGGGAAAAAAAAAAGCTTTCTGTACTGCAATGATGTCGGGCAGGGTAGTCTAGGAGGCCGTGCTCACAGTCTTCCTCTACAGAATGCATCTTACAGCAAACACGGTCACATTCTGAAAGTTGTTTTTTTTTGTTTTTTTTCCTTTCTCGTGTGTTTGTTACGAGTCCCCTGCCAACGAGGCAGGCCGGAATCCGTGATCTGCTCAAGCTGTGTTTCCCCAGAGGATTGTAACCCTGATCACACTGGCACTTAGAGGAATGTATCCAGCCATTTTCACAGCCGAATCCGTGTTTGCGCTTTTTTTTCCCCCTTGTTTTGCATTTCTGGAATCTGACAATCTGAACACGGCGCTGTGATGCGCTCACTGATTGCAGTTGTATACATTCTTGGAAGTGGGGTAGTGTGAGTGTGCCCTCACTGATTGCAGTTGTATACATTCGTGGAAGCGGCCACAACGTTTGTTCGTCTTTTTTTTTTGTTTGTTCTTCCCGTGAGAGTACCATAAAGAAAATGGAGTGGGACTCAGGCTCGGCAAAACTCGGAGCGCAGTGAAATTCAGGGTCGGCGAAAACAGGCTTGGAGGTACTAGTGGTTTAAGCAGAGCTTACAACCATGTGTGTGGTGGTCAGTGTATCCATCTTAGAAGCTTGCGAGTGTGGGACTTAGCAAACCTGCATGCATGTTATGAAGATGCCAAGGATCTGCAGATTATTGGGAGTTTCACTCTCCTAACACAGACACATGCTTAGAAATACACACACAACAACAAAAACTACGAATATGTGGTCACTCCGTGCTCAACCACGCAGAAGTAGGGGACATCGCTCGTCTATGGTGTTCCCGATGTGGTTTATAATGCTTTGAGACTGTTTGGGACTTAATGGAGTTTGTTGCTGGGTGATTTAGGCAGGGGGGAAGAGAAAGAGAGAGAGAGAGAGAGAGGAGGAGGAAGCTGTGATTTTCCTTGTTTTCGTTTATCAATGTGGGAACAAGTTCATTGAGAACTTGAGGTTAATGTGTTTACTTTTCCACGTCTTCCAAATGCAAGGTCTGGGGAGTCTGCCCTGCCTACGAAGTGGTGCAGAGGGTAAGCGGTGAATCTGTTTCACGTTCTTGAGCTTGTTTTATTCCTTTTTTTTGTGTTGCAGAAGCCTGCAGGTTCAAAAGACAATGGGATGTGTAAACTGCATATCTATGTCTAACTGTGTTTGTGAACATCATGCCGTAGAGAGCAGTGAGATCAGTGCAATGTTACTGGTGTTGTGTTTGAGAGAGATGCTGCTGTTCTAATGCCGAGGTGAGCTCTCTCTCTCTCTCTCTCTCTCTCTCTCTCTCTCTCTCTCTCTCTCTCTCTCTCTCTCTCTCTCTCTCTCTCTCTCTCTCTCTTTCTGACACAGACACACACGAACTACACGGGCTAATTCTTTGCCCTGCTTTAGAGCGTGGGCTGTTTGGATGTTTACTGGTGGCCACAAGTTCTCTTTGGGGGGAATGTATGTTAGTGGGCCGGAGTGGAAGGCTTTCCCGGTTTTCTCGGACCCTTAGCATGGTCGGTGCGTTTTGGCTGGAGGAGTCTTCTGTCTTAGGTAAGTTGTCTCTTATCTTCTTCCTCCTCTTTGGCAGTGACGCGAGTGTGTAGTTTGAGATGAATGTCGGGAATGTCAATGCTGTTATATTTGTTTGTTTTTTATAAATGAGTTTTTGGTTTTGTAGGTCGATGCGGAAGGCTCTCCAAGTTTTTCGGACCTTTGAGGGGTTCGGGTCGGTGTCTTTTTGCTGGAGTAGTCTTCTGTCTTAGGTAAGTTGCCTTCTGCCCTCCATCCCCTTATGGTTTGAAATATATATGAATACATATGCATATGTGCGAGTGTGCCGCTTTGGCGGCAGACGGGTGTGTGGGCACTTGGCGCTGAATCACACAAATGTGGCCAACCTTGCATTTTCTATTATATTGCCTATCTATACTTTTTCGTTATGCATGGCTTGTGATGATCTGTGAAGGGAATGAGAGACAGAATCTGGGGTCCTTTAAAACAACACACAGGCTGCTACAGTCATCCTTTTTTTGAGTGTATAGCGAATACGACAACACACAACATGGCCTTGCTAAGCTCTCCGTACCACGGATCGATGCGGCTAGGGTCGGGATCGTACTAGCGGTCATGCCATTTGGTGTCCATGGCTCAATGGGTGTGTAGAGTGGGTTTTATGACTGTGTCAGATTAGTTTCTGAGACTTACTACCCTTCTTGTCAAGGGTCTGGACCAGGTTCAGACCTGCTAGAATTGCAAGCTTAGGTTGGTGTGAGTAAAGTCACAGAGAGAGAGAGAGAGAGAGAGAGAGAGAGAGAGAGAGAGAGAGAGAGAGAGAGAGAGAGAGAGAGAGAGAGAGAGAGAGAGAGAGAGNAGAGAGAGAGAGAGAGTTTGGGGAGGTGGAAAACCACACACACACACACACACATGTAAAGTTGACCACTTTTCTCTGTCAAGGATGGGTATCGCTAACTCTGGGCGATGTGGTGAGTCCTTCTTATCCATCAGTCAAATGCATCCTGGACAGACTGTCGGGGTTCAACATCCTGATGAGTCGATGAAAGTCCGACGAAACAGTCTGTTTGGCACAGTCATGCTTTGTTTGAGTGTATAGTGAATATGACAACACACAAACACACACACACAAACACACTTTTTGTTTTGTTTTTTTTGACAACCCTGTGCCAGTCTAGAGTAGTCTGTTCCAGCCGTGAATATTTAGAATTCTGTGAAGCTCAGATGAATAGATTCAGAATCAAAGCAGTCTTTGTGTCCTATTGCACAGAACGAGAGCATTTGAGATGAGACAGTCACAGTCCAACATATGAAAGCAATTTTATAATTAGACAGTTTTTTGGTTGTCCTTGGGGTACCCCTTCCATTGTTCTTGCAACTCCCCTTTTACTGTGCCTCTTTCGTACAAGGCTGTCCACGTTGATTGTGGTTGAGCGGCAGCTGCCCACATCCCCGTGTGCCTTCACGGCCCACTTGCACGTTATTTCAGGAGGCGAGTAAAAAGGAAGGTATGCTCCTGTGCATACTCCTGTTCATTTCACTTCAGAGCTTCATACTCCTGTTCATTTCACTTCAGATATTCAGCTTATACAGTTCTTTGTGTCTGTCCTTCATCTTCATACTTCCGTTCATTTCATTTCTGATCTTCATATCGTCTGTCCTCTTAATGATGCTCATTCGTATGTATTTGTTAGTAGCACAAAGGGAGTGGAGTGGAGGGTGGAGGGTAGGCGATAGAAGGTGGAGTTCTATAGGAGTATGGGGCAGGGGAGGTGGGGGCAAAGGAATCGGGGCGGTTGTGTGGAAAATCTGTAACACACAGACATACATGCCGTCCCTGTTCTCTCTCTCTCTCTCTCTCTCTCTCTCTCTCTCTCTCTCTCTCTCTCTCTCTCTCTCTCTCTCTCTCTCTCTCTCTCTCTCTCTCGTTGACATCTTATTATTGTGTGCAGCCAATGTATGCAGTTTGGAATCTACTATCATGAATGTGCATGGTCTCAGTGACTCATGTGAGCAAGTTGGTTTTTGAGGCTTACATTTTCAGCTTGTTAAAGCGCGGTAGATGTGTCCTTGTCGTTTGGATCTGTTGCCAAAAGAGGTAGATTTTATAGGTTCGTCATAATACTATGGACATTCCTCAATGATCACTGTAAACCGTCTCTGCATATCTCACTCCCCTGATAGTACGGAGGAAAAAAAAGTATCACATAGGATTTTATTTGGAAGTGTTCAGTTATGATAACAAGTGGCTCCTGCACAGCCGTGCATGGTAGGAAATCCCCCTCAGACAGAAGAGAAGAAGATAAAGCAGGATGTAGACACTAACAGAGATGCGACATGCACATACGGAGTTCGGTGTTTCATGTCACCGTAAAACCGCAATGCACAGCAACATATGTTTGGAGTCACCATAAACCCCCAGTGCACTGTGACACATATGAATGAGAGACTGTGTGCAAGAGTCGACTAACTAAGCACACGGTCTCACAGTGACAGTGACAGAGAGTTGTAGGAAATGAGCACCGGTGTGCACATGCACACGGCTGAGGGGAGCCAACGACAGGTGTAGGAAATGAGCACCGGTGTGCACATGCACAGTGACAGAGAATTCCAGTACACATTGAATACAGATCTGTCCGACATTGCCACCGAGTACATGCCGGGTTTTTCACCCGATACCATCTCCCGCCTTCCCATGTTGATCATCTCCCAACAAGACAGCATCTCTCTCTCTCTCTATATATATATATTTCTCTATTTGACGATATATATATATTATATCTATCTATCTATCTATCTATCTATCTAATGCGGGCTTGGTTGTGCAACCTTGCCTTGGCTGCGGGAACTCCACTTGCCCAATTGAAAAAGGAAAGAGAAGTACTTTTCTCAGGGGTTTGGAGCAACAGTTTGCTAGGATACAAGGGCTGGAGTGAGCAAGTCTACTACTTTTCTGGCGGCTATATCGCGAACTCTGGGTTACGTGCTAAGTCCTTCCTTATCCATCAGAGTCTGATGCGTTCTGGGAAGACTGGGGGTTCAGCCTCCAGATGAGTTGGTGAAAGTCTAAAGAAAACAGTCAGGTGCAGCCATGCTTTTTTAATGGAGTAATGCATAGCAAATATGACAACATACATGCACAAAAATAACTCGCACAGAGCACAAAAAAACGGAGCACGTCATGGAGCAGCCGGGGTGGTATATTACGCGGGCTGGGTGATACCCTGTCGGTTGGGTGGCACCGGCATACTTTCCAGGGTGGGTGATGCCGTGTGTGCTGGATGGTTGTATTGTTTTCATTTCTGCATGGTGTTATGTGGCAGGCGGTTGTTTCGAGGAGGGCGGAGTGGTACAATGCGGGGTATCGGTCAATGAATAAATATACCAATCAAACCAGACCCACCCATGCATGTCAGACAGAAAAAAAAGAACTAATCAGTCTACTAGAAACAGTAGAGCTTATCAGCTGCGGATGCCTCTATGCGTGCCAAACCGACTGGCTCAGCAGGGGTTTCCCGGAGATTGCTGAGCGGCGAGTCTCCAGATGATTCGGTGCAGGTCAGTCGAAACAGTGTCGCTGTCCGTTTGCATTTTTTATTTTCTGTTACGTAAATTTTGTTGAGTACTTGTATCTTTCGTCCTCCATTCCTCCGCTCTTGGTGACCTTTCCATTGGGCATACGGGGCTGCAGGGTCTTTTTCGGGTGCAGTATTAATGGATACTATCTGACGCTACGCGCTGCAGTACGATCGTGCGCAGAAGATTTCATCCCCCAAGCACACACACACACAAAATGAAACAGTTGCACTAAAGGCAATTCCTACTAATGACAAAGCGCATTTGTAGCAACACATGGGACAAACAAACAAATGAGGGCAGGGGACCACTGACATGGCAGTTTGTCTTCGATCCACCATAATTATGGTGTCCTTGTACTTGTCTACGCCAATTGCACAGGATACAGTAAAAAAACATATGCGATAATCACTAGCCTCAAAAGGCAATTCGAGGATCCAATCTAATGGCCTAGCCACGCAATCGACTACAGCAGAGAGCGAGCAAGGCGGCTCCACATGAAACAGTCTTACCTTTCAATCTTTTTTCAAATTGTGTGCGACAGGATACCGCGGTGGGAGGTTGTCATCAAGGGGACTGGGTTACTTCACTTGGCTCTGACTCTCTTTTCGTCAGATGTAGAATATCTGCAGCTTATTGTGTCTAACACTTACCTATATGT